GACAGTATATAATGTCCATTCAACTAACAAATGCACCTTCCGCCTTCAAAAGGTAACGCAGATTTGAGGGCGTGATCCCACAGGGTAAAACTTTCAGATGACGCATTCTAGGCGTTAAGAAGTCAGACAGATGGCAGGTCTGAATGTTTACGAAGTCTATGCCGCAACTACAGCAAAACAGTCGGGTTGAACAAGGCCTGCCTTTGTAATAAATGCACACGTTCCTGACACACTGCATCAACTGCTCCTAAAAAGCCTGCCAAGTATGCTAGGAATTGCAGAGGTTCAGAAATATTTTGGGAAATTACTTGTTTTGTCGCCTTGAACGCATATATTCTACGCAGAGTCTTAACTGACATGCATTAAACCCAATAGTCAAAATATTCAATGCGAATGACGAAGCCTCGGTCAAGGACAATACGCGGAACTACTATAACCAGGACCAGCTTAGCTTACACTGTGGTTGCTATGCTGATGTCTATGCGTCAGTGTACTAACCCTTGCAAGACTGTGTTAAAAAAAATGGGATTTTATGTGACCACAAAGACCACTGCATCAGAGAGATAACCGAGACATAGAGATTGCTCATGCGCGAGGAGGACGTGTCGGCATGCCATTGCGTGCATTCACCAAAGATGAGCTAAGGTTTTCAGAAAGCTAGTGATTGTGACCTCACCGAAATAACCCTGTGCATTTCGTGCTAGTCGTTATTGTGGTAGAAACTAGCGGACACTTTTGGAGTGGTTTCCCTTTGCTGTGACGTACCGCATATTCTTGTACAGTAGACTCTCAGTAAACAGAAATCTGTTAAACAGAACTACTGTTAAAACGAAACTCCTGTAAATGAAACATATTTTTCCGGTTCCTCCAGGTTTCATTTACTGAGAGTCTACTGTATATACATAAAACCCACAAGTAAAATGATTCATAAGAAAAACTTTTCAAGAGCGGGAGCGGGGACTCAAACCCGTGAGCCCTCGCTGCACAGCACTCTGCTTTAAACAATAACACCCTGTGCCATTTGTCCTCCGGAATAATGACAACAAAACACAAATTAACGCTGTGTTGCATGAAACGCACCGGATGCCACACGCGGCCTAATCAGAATTATGCAAGACGTGACCGTGCTGCATTCTTCCCGCACTTTCTGTTGGCATAACATCACTGGAGACCTGCGCAAGTTTTCGAATTTTGGGTTCGAGCGCCGCAGTCACTCGTGGCCAGTCATTCAGGAAAAGAGGAGTGCACCCCAACGCTCATGGTGCCATGAACTGTGGGAACGCTTCGACTCATGCAAGTTTATACTACAGAAGGGAAGAAGCGAAATGGTTGAACCAGAATATATCTTACATTGGGACCAGAATCGGGGCCAAGAGAGAACACCAGCAGTGGCTTGACATGCCACTGCCAAGTGCTATTTTTGTAATCTTATGAGATCACGTCTTTTCCAATTTTGTTCACCGCCCAGAGGAGGACGCTACAGGTTCTTGGGACAGCATGATCGCAAATGTCCGACAGTGGCTTGTGTTCTCTGCACGTGCCCTGGTAGCTCGCAAATTTCTTGGTTCCGTTAGCTTCCTGGGTCCCAGTCCTAAAGATCTCTAGTATTTCACAACAGTTGGGATGTTGCTGTCGCATTCATAGCTTTACCCTTGCGGCAAAACTGTGGGTTTTTTACATTTTGCTTCAGATTTTGTTTATTTTATTTGCTGGCATGTCATGCGTACATAACAGTAATAAACAGTTGCAAGTCGGCATTCTTTAGAATGACTATGTTGTTATAGTCCTCCAGTTTTGCATGTTGTTACACGGAAGAGCAAAATGAGCTAGGGCTGCCTTTGGATTAACACCCACATGTAACTATGGTACTTACAGCACCATTTGTAAAAATTATCACGGAAAGGTGTCTAGCAGAAACTTGTAAAAATTCAACACCACAACTTAATTTCTACCTATCACGGTCTAGGGGCCCTTTAAGGGGGGACGCAGGTCTTAGAATGATGAAAAATGGCCAAAAAGGCGATTTTGAGAAAATGAGATATTTGAAATTTTTAGACCTATGAGCACGTGTCCTCAAACTATGAACGCTGAATTCGATCAGAAAATGGATTAAAATTGATTATGAAGTCGCCACGAGAGCCGCAAAACAACCCACGGCAGGTCAAATTTGTTCAAACTTCCCGGCGCGCCGCCGGCGAGGCAGTCGGCCGATCGCCGCCATCTTGGGCTTGTTTTGAAGCTGATTCCATTGTGCGCATTTTGCCGACCTTTCAAAATGGCTGTGTCCGAAGCGGTACACTCTCCTGTGCCTTGCAGCAGCACCTCATCGGATTGTGTCGTCGTCGGATCGTCATCTTGCACTTCCAGCAGCATCCTAGACTGCATTGACATGGCGTTTTATTCGGCGGACGAGTTTGCTGAGTGCGCGAGAAATGCAGCGGGCTTGAAGGCATCACTCGCATCGCCGTGCTCGACGGAATGTAAGTTCGAGTTACTAGATATTGATCTGGAGGATGGTGGCAAAGAAAACGGGACAGAATTTGTTATTGTTGATCTGGCGGCGATACACTCGTTATTTGGACTTGTCGCGTGCCCAGAATGCAGTGAAAGAAGCGTCACTATTTCAAAGGCCAAGAAAGAGTACGGGCTGTGTTCGAAGCTCATAGTCACGTGCAGCAGTTGTGACTTTCGCGAAGAGCGTTTTTCGTCCCCACATATAGCCGACGAGACCGACGCCAAAATAAGGCCGTTTGAAGTTAATATGCGTGCCATGAAGGCCATCAACAGTATCGGCAAGGGGGCAACGGCTCTGTCGGACTTCTTCGCCGGGATGAATATTTTGCATCGAGGGCTTCACCACAAGAGTTACCAAAGCCACATGAATATAATGAAAGAAGCCTGCTGTGCGACTGCTGCCGAATGCGAATCGGCGAGCGTTGCTCGCGTCAAGGAGCTCTATGCGGAGTTCGGCAACACGCCCGGAAACATCGACGTCATTTATGACGGCACCTGGCTTACACGTGGACATAGCTCACATATATGTGCTGGCTGCATTGTTGAGATGTATAGTGGCCTCGTGATAGACCATATCATGCTATCAAACTTTTGCCTGGCTTGCACCACAGGACCCAAGGAAGGAGAAGCAGGACATTCTGCCTGGCTCATTCAGCACGCCCCTCTGTGCCAGAAGAATGTTGATTGTAATGCTGGCCAGATGGAAGTGGAGGCAGCACTACGCTTGTTTGAGCGGTCACTTGAAAAGCACAAGCTTCGTTATATGACAATGCTGTCGGACGGCGACAGCAGGACATTTCATGCACTCACAGAAAAGGAGGTGTACGGCTTCATAAAGGTGGCCAAAAAGGACTGCATAAATCATGTACACAAGCGTATGGGAGCTGCCTTATGTACCCTTGTAGAGAAAAAAAAAAAGCTCAAGGTGGCTCACTTGGTGGAAAGGACAGACTTACGCAACAAAAGATAAAGAAGATCACCTCATACTATGGCTACACATTGAGAAGCCACAGGAACGATGTTCCAGGTATGCAGAAGGCTGTTCTAGCAACTTTGAACCACATGTCTTCAACTGACGAGGCACCAAAGCATGACCTTTGCCCTGAAGGCCCTGAATCCTGGTGCGAATTTCAGAGAGCTCTTGCGAAAAATGAGAAGCCGCCACCACACAAGGACAGCCTGCCTGATTTCGTAACTGAGGCAATGGAGCCTGTGTTTAGGCGGCTGAGCGACAATGTCCTCTTGGAAAGGTGCAGCGATGGGATCACCAAGAACCCAAGTGAGAGCCTGCACGCTATGATTTGGCAGCAGGCCCCCAAAACTCAGCATGCATCCTTGTAGAGCATTGAAAGAGCAGTTACCGAAGCCATCAGCCGCTTCAACTAAGGCACAACCAAGAGCAACGTGGAAAGTGCCGAGAAGCTGGGCTACAGCGCTGGCAATAACTTGGTGCATCGCATCTTTGAGAAGGACAAGGGCAGGCTACAAAATCGCGAAGAGAGCATCTCGACAGTAGTTCAATAAAGGAAAGACTTTCAAAGCGTTACAAGCCAGCAGGGGACTCTGCTTACAGCCTTGGTCTGCTGTAAACAGTCATGATGGCAAATAGTGAGAATTTTCGCAAAAATAAAGATTCTTGGTTTTAGACCTAAACATTGTGTAAATCTATTGTCTATCCAAGGACAACATTACTCATGATTTTTTTTGTGTTCCTTTCACTTGCAAGGCACTGGAACGACCATAAAGTAAAGAAATAACAATTCTCATGCTGAGTCAATGACTATTTTATAGTTCTAGAACAAGTTGTGAGCAGTATTCTGGGTGGTTACAGTGAAATTTAGCATGGCCATTTATCCTATAATATAGAGCTACAGAAGTATGTCATTAATGTCGCTGTAGCTTCACTTTAGCAAAAGTTAAAGTTGCTAGAAACTTCAAACGCGTTTTTCTCAGTTCGATGTTTTTGCACATTGCACTCGGCCTTACGGTGGTTCTTCCTATTTCAAACTTGAGTGAATGCGACAAAGTTGGTATCATTTTATTCGTCTTGACATGATCTAAGGGGGTGATGCTATTTCTATTTCTCTAGCATCACTTCAAAAATTACCATTGAAGATTTTAGTGAAATTTATTGTAATATAGTGAACATAAATGTTCGTCCGTTTTCTTGCTTATAAAATGCCTTCAAATGGATAAAAATAGCATCACTCCCTACAGCAAGTCTCCAGCATCGTGATTATGCATTCACTTTTTGGATTAGTAAGAATGAATTGCCAAGAAGTCCCGTAAGAAGTACGCAATTAATTAAGATTCAGACCTTCATATTTTCTAAACCACTTGAAATATTAAGAAACAAATTAGAGATTTGAAATTTGAAGTCAGCATGAAAAACTAGTTAGGTAGTGAAGTTTGGTTAAGATTGAGCAAAAGATTAAAAAAAAATTTTAGAACCCACGTCCCCCCTTAAAGCCCCTCGGTGGCCTCACCGTAGAGAGGCTCAAAGGTGTCTGGAGATCCGGCGAAGAAGTCCTCAAGCTTGAAGTCATTGGGACCCTTGAGGGTAAAGCCAAAGCCCTTGGCCTGCCAGCCCTTGCGCCACAGAACGTACTCCGAGAAACCGCCAGGCCCAGCACAGACATCCGCAAAGTACAGCAGGTCATCAGGGCCCACCATCGAAACCTGATGTCAAGATTATGACATTTAGTCAATCGGAGCCTACTTCCGTTGCAGGGTCCATGTTTGTGGGTGCAAAGGCTCTTGTAGGGATTTCGTCTAGCTACTAAGCAACGACAAACCGCAGTCACCAGGTCATGCATGGGTGGTCTCGTTTGTTTTACTTACCATCTGCTTCTTTAAGCATTGTTACTTACGCTCTACTCAGCTGAAAGCCTGCACGACATTTCCAAATTTTATGTTTCAGGGAGTCCCCTTTGAAAGAACATTTAAGATTAGCACCCTTAACAACTACTATATTCAGTCATTTGGAAATGCGTGAAAATGCTCAAGGCTATGCACCAATATGAGAGCTTCAAATAATTGAAGCTTCTCTTCTTTCACAGTTCTTCAAGGTGCACAATCAGCACTTATATATCGCCACACGAAAAACTAGAGGATGAAACTGATGAGTTTCATTTTTAAGGCAAACTTTCGTAATTTACGAAAGATAGTTTTTTTAAAGTCCATCTATTCCTCTTTTTCCAGCTATAATTTCCCATTTAGGCACTAATTACCATCAGCTGTCTCTAAAGGACCCAATTTACACACAAATTTATTGCAAGGTGCTTAATATTCTACTCCGAGAAAGAGAAGTTTGTAATATGCCTGTTTGTACCTTCCTCAGTAATTAATCCTTTTGCTGCCATGAAGAAAAGAAAAAATTGTGCTGAATTTACCAAAACTTTTTATTTTGTCAATTTGTAGAGCTTTTTCTTTTATGAACATAACAATATCATTCTTTCAATGCAATGGCATACCTTTATTGACTGATTGTGTCAATATGTTTATGCACGCGCGACATGTTTATGCACGCGCGCGCGATTGCACTGAAAAGTTGTACATTCAAAGAAAATAAAAAAAATTAAAAAAATCCTCCAGGCAGCGAGGCATGCATTAAGTATTTTCTTTCCCTGTGCCATTCCTCTCTGCTTCGCTTCCAGAGTTTTCGTCAGGATGAGAAATGAGAGAATGCAATTGCAGCGTGCGATGACACTTTATAATTTGGTGCGTACTTGACGGATTCTAAACATTTTTGTGGCAGTCAATCAGTAAGGCAATAAGCTCCTTCAGTGAATCCTTTCCACGGCTATCTGAAAGAGTGCTGCAGGGCCCCTTTAATGAAATGTCTGTCAACCCCGAAGCAAGTCATCCTCTATTTTATAGTATACAAATAATTAACTCAGAATTTCCAAAAACGCTTTTTTGAGTGAAGTAGTACAGACGAATGATAGAATCCACTCACCCCATTTTCATCCACGGGAGAAGTGAACATGAAATCAAAGGCAGAATCCATGTTGGCCATTTTCATGGCTGCCCTGCGGAGGAACAACAAGCGATCCGGTCGCCATTACGATGTAGCCTACTGGCCAGCCGAAAATAAGCATGAAAGAATTGCACAACTAATACACGATTATGTCTACATGGCCCACTTCTTATTCTTTATTACATTTGCCTTTATTCGGTCTGTGTAAAATTGCGAAATGATTTTATTGCCACAAAGCAGTTAGAACTACTTGTTTTTACATGACAATACAGTGGTGTACATAAAAATTCGAAAGCAAAATAAGAAAGAACAAAAACGAAACTGCCGGAACCAATATCAGTAACTGGCAATCAAATTGAATAGCTAAATGTTTTCAAAGAGGCAGTATTTGTTTTCTGTTTTTTAAAGAAATTATTTGCTTGAAGCAGACATATCCGATGGGGTACACGTATACATATTGCACAATGTATGTACCACATATCATATACACCCAAAACTAAATGTAAATAAACACAGATATCACTTGATATTAGTTATAACAAATTAAATGAATAGTCTTACAATAGAGACAGTGTTCGAAAAAAAAAAAACGTTATAACAAATTTTTGCTTATGAGGAACTAATTTTCATGTAATTTTCATATAAGATGCAATTTTACTATAATGAGGTATGAGTATACATATCTCATATATCTCATAGGTCTCTGATTAGTCATATGTTCGAACAAAAGGATATTCAGTCGTTCCCAACCCTGACATGCCGTTCAAGGAAACTACAGTGATCCCTCATCATGCCAAAATAACTTTATTTTTGAAATACCACTTGACTCAGAATTTTGTCCAGTCCCAACACAAACGTGTGTTATTGAGCCAAATTACTCAAAGCGCACGCAGAGCTTGAGCGACATAGAACGAAGTAGCAAGCAGCGCGGCGGAAACCGTTTAGCACATGCAGCGTCACTTAACACCGCTGATGAACTAGCCTCATGCAGGCACAGAACTGGCCCCTAAAGTACCAAACCCATGACCGATTATGGCCAGCCTAGTAATGGGTACCAAACAAGTGCCAAATGCTTCCAGTTGTTGACTGTAGAGCAACAAAAGCTGTCAAATTCAATGATGCAGTGCACCAGAACCATTGACTTCAGTCGCAATGGATCCTTGGTGTCCCCTTGCGTACGATTTACACACAAAAAAATCACAGCATATCTTTGGAGTGAATGATGATGAGTGGGGCGAAGCGTTCATCAGCCCGTCCATGCTTCCGTCTGTTCGTTCGTTCTTGCTTCCGTCCGTCCCTGCGACCATCCATGTGTCCGTGGGTCTGTCCGTGAGTCCATCTATCCATCCGCACGCCCGCGCGTCCGTCCATCTGTCCGTCCACCTTCTAGTCTGCCTGTCTGTCCGTCCATCCATGCGTCCATCTAGTGAACACTCTAAGTACCGCCATCTTGCATCCCCTGTGGCACATACCCGCTCCACACGTCTGTCCATCCGTCTGTCTGTCTATTAGTCTGTCTGTTCGTTCGTGGGTCCATCCATCCCTACGTCCCCTTGTCCGTCCACCTGTCCGTCCATCCATGCGTCCATCTAGTGAACACTTAAAGTATCGCCATCTCGCATCCCCTGTGGCACATACCCACTCCACGCGTCCCTTCATCCATCTGCTAGTCTGTCTGTAAGTTCGTCCATGTGTCCATCTGTGCGTCCATCTAGTGAGCACCCCAAGTACCACCATCTCCTATCTTGCATTTCCTGTGGCACATACCTAGAGCGGTTATGTGCCACCGGTAGCTACATACACCAATGGAGGATGGACAGACTCACACCCTAAGGAGCTTCGCCCATAGAAGCAGATGGCAGTATGCGAAAGCACTTACATCCATCCAGTGAACACTCCAAGTACCACCATCTCCCATCCCCTGAGGCACATACCCACCCTAGAGTACGTATGTGCCACCGGTGGCTACATACACCAGCGGAGGATAGACAGACCCACACCCTAAGGAGCTTCCACCCCTAAAAGTTTTCCTGGCAATACCAAAAAACCGTAATCTTTTCTATGCCGAAAAATAGGCAGAATACCATGGCTTGTGCTATAGTGTTCAATCGGGTGCGCTCCGGGAAAGTTTTAGTGCTCTAAAGAGTGTCAAAACGTGTCCATGCAGCTTTAGACAAACGGTCCAAATGCGTGCTAGAGTCACGAAATTTCGTTCCTGGACATTTGACAATGACGTCAACGCGACGGCACATGAATACCAACACCTGAACTATAGATTTCACAGAGCCCCTAAGAGAGCTCCACCAAATCTCTAGTTCTGCGAAGCCCTATTTGAGAACCATTAGTTTGGACAATAGCTAGGTATGAACTGGTTTGATATACGCACAACTAACTGTACCTTAAGAAAAATAATCAAAAGGAGACAATGCCATTTCAAAGATTAGAGAATGCTGCACCACTGTCACAAGTACAACCCCCAACTTTTTTTTCTACATTAAAAAAAAAAGAGTTCCATCAACGCTTACAGAAACAACGACAATCATGCACCTGTTCAGAAAGATTCCACCGCGAATAGTTTCAAAGGGATTCGACCGCGTTCTGGCTCGACGCATTTCTTCTGGTTCCAGCCTGTCAAACACACTCTGAAATGAAAACAGAGCATGGCAAAACACACTTCAAGTACAAGTACAAAAATGATTTTGCGTACTGCACCCACTGTTAGAAACAAATGTCATGAAATTATGGAGATGCAAATAGTAACTTTTAGATTCGAAGCAAATAGTGATTAGGTCCAAAAATTTTGAATCAAATAGTTCAAATAGCATATGTCACATGTTATAAGTGAATCTTAGCACATTTGACATGACCTAAACTACATGCACAATATCTTTTTCCAATAGACTGAGTCATGTGCGAATGTCATTTCTTCTGTTTAAGGTGAAGGGGAAACAACTTTGAATAGTTGCAGAATTTTAATTTCAGTAGGATGCGAATGATAAATGATAAAATATGCTATGTTTGAAAAACTACAACACTTGGAGCGTGTAAGCCTACGTAACCAGCTTTTAAACTAAAGAATTTATAATTGATGTGAAGGTAGCATGTCGATTTAACCTTAAAATGGGATTTACCAGCAGCTCTGCTTTTTTTTTTTTGTACAAGTGTTTTCGCAGCATAGTACTACTCTGCTGCAAGTGAAAACACCTTCACAAAAGAGTTATGCGCGATTAAATACACTCAAACCTGATAATAACGAACCCAGTAATAATGAAACATTGCTTATAACAAGTAAATTAAGAATGGTCTTGCAATAAGTATAGTGTTAAGAACATATCTGTAGAACAAAATTTTGATTACAACAAACTTATTTTTGTATAAGATTCAACTTTGTTAAAAGGAGGTTTGAGTGTGTCTTCATTTCGAACAACTCAAAAACTTTGGACAATTTAAATTCATGTCAAAGCAAACTTGAATACTCTAATGTTCGTTCGAAATATCCGAAGTGTTCAAACATTTGCATGGGAATTATGTGCGCAGGCTGCTCAAAAAGTTATGGGTTTAGTCGATGCGTCCACTCAAGGTCAAGCGATTATGTGGGCAATGTAAGCGTGTGAGCGACAGCTCCTGCACAAGCTAGCTCGCACCATCTCTTTGGGCTTGGTCAGAGGTCCATAACGGTCCATCTACATTATCGACAGGATCATCAGCAGGCCGTGAGTTGTGGCTGACAAGGCAAGCACCAAATAAGACACACGGGGAATCGCTACAAATTATCAGCCCAGGCGACCGGCACGGCCGATATTGGTGTCTGATACCCATGTATGTCAGTTAGACATGTGTGTTCTTCTGAAGAGCATGAGCGTCGGCACGAAAGGAGGGTACTGCCACCTACCAACATAAGAGAACAACACTCCGAGAGCTATGATACACAGTTATTGATCGCACACCCAGCAACTTGGTCGTGTGAGGGCATATGCACCTTACGTCAAGCCTATACGACAATAAACACTGTATACCACCATAAAGATAAGCAAATAAACTACAAGGAAAAAACCAAAATGTTCTACCAAATATGTTAACGTACCAACTTGCCAAACTTGCCGTTGTAAACCTAAACAAGCGGCTCACTTTTAAATACGTGAATCGTCTGTAATGAACAGAGATGATTCCATAGAGTGACAAAACTTCGCGAGTTGGTAAATTATCGTTCTAACATCAAGGGCGAGTGGACAAGGACGGAGCCGAAAAAGAACGCATCTCTGCTCATTTCAACATAAAGCATAGAAATAAACAGAGACGCTATTAGGCAGGGTTCAATGGATGCCATATTCTGGATTCATGTTGTCTGCCAGTACGAAGTTTGATAAAACAGAGAGAAAAAAAAAAACATGCAGTAGAATAAGTCACTGTTTGTGGTGTCTGCATATTCTCTTTCTTGCAGGACGTTTATTTTGCACTAGAAACGAGAATCAAACCCTCAAGAAGAGCAGAACGGCCGTAAGTCAGCGAATCGCGCCATACCTTGCAGTCGATGATTTGCTTGAGCACCTTCTCGTCGCAGAAGCAGGTCTCGTCGTCAATGGTGAGCTTTTTCTGTCATCCGAAGAGAAGCGCATAAAAAGGGAATAAAGGTAACCGCTTCCGCCAACACAGACACAAATGACCTTCAAACTTTGGGTACAATATGGCACATGACCCACCGAGACATGTTCCACTCAGCACGCAGCTCAGTTGCATAACATCACAGTAGCCAAGTTACCACAGTGGTTTTGCGCTGTAATCTGGACGAGTGGGGCGCCACGGAAATGCTTTTTTTTTTTTTTCTCATTTTTGAGGGAGTTTTATCTATCCCACTTGGCGATGGCATTTCTTGACAGCACTGTGGAACCTACAGAACCAGAGCGCATACCTGCTACCGCGCCAAGAAAAAGTATTAAAGTTTATGGATAATTTTCTTATTCGCCTAGCTGAAATAACTGCCGATTTATTTTTATGAGACTGAAACAATTGTAGCTAGTCATAGCTGAGATCCAATTATTCTACATCTTGAAAGAATGCCTTCTTTTTTCCCCTCTTTCTTAGCATCGCTTTTTCAGTAGGCCTGTTGTACAAAATAAAGATGGCTGGTGTGACATAGCAGGTCTGTTTGCGCTCAGCAAGCACGCAGTTTAGCTCTCAAGGAAAAGTATACTCGTAATTAGACACTAAAATATACTTTAAAACATCAAAATGTTTCTCCCATCCACATTTTTTGTTTATGTGTCTTTTAAAAGCCTAAGCGATGTGAGCATGCAAAACCGAAATCAGCCTGAAGCTATCGTACGACTCGCGGAGCAGCGCGACTCGGCCAAACCCCCGCTCTTATAAGCTGGCTTCGCTCCATTGTCAAAATAGGTTGTCTGTGAGTGCAAAAAAATGTTCTCAAGGCCATATGTTCTACTGTACAACTCTGCTGATAAATTTCTCACGAAAGCGTACCATATTTATTTGCATATTGAAGGCACTTCTTCTCTTGAAAAATCGGAGCAGTTAGGGGTGCGTTTGTTATGTGAATAAATTTTATGAAAACTTTTAGGGGCGAAGCTCCTTATGGCGTGGCTTGTGCGTTCCTCATAGTACGTAACAACCAGTGCCACAAACTTGAAATAGCGGTCCTTCAGATTTTGACCTCCAAGGTGGTTCCGGTGAGAGATTTCTTCTGTGCGTTGTTGAACAATAAAAGATAGTGCTCAATGCACATGTTAATGGCTGCTAAGGGGGAATGAGAGACAGGAGCATTCGGCCTTTAAGTAACGCGCACGCTGCGATCCCCATTAGCAGCTATTGGCATGTACATTGAGCATGATCTGACAAGCAAGGGTTGCTACGTTATACTCGCTGGGTGTAACCTCCTTAGTTTTAGAAAGGTTTAGCGAGCGTTGGGCCGCATAGCCATGAATACAGTGAACTAGTATATACCATGAAGTCGAGGTGGTTAAAGGTGGGAAGTAAACCCGAAGCGCAAGCTGTAAGAAAGTGTGCATGTGCCACCTCCCGTTTAGTCCTTGAAATGTCCGCTGGATGGTGGTGCTTCTATATGGAGAATATATGATGAAAAGATGCGAGATGGTGGTACTTGGAGTGCTGAATAGATGGACGAACGGACACACAGACAGATGCATGGATGAACGCATGAACGGACGCAGGCGCGGATGCATGGACGAACGCAGGGACGGGCGCACGAACAGACGCACGCACGGACCGGTGGATGGACGCATGGACGGTTGGACACAGACAGATGCATGGATGGACGCATGAACGGACACAGGCGTGGATGCATGGACGAACGCAGGGACGGACGCACGAACAGACACACGCACGGACGGGTGGATGGACGCATGGATGGTTACACAGACGTACGCAGGAACGGGCGGAAGCAAGAACGAATGGACGGACGAATGCTTCGCCCCACTCCCCATCATTCACTCCGTGGATATGCTGCCATTTTTTTAGGCCAAGCAAAAAATGTGGTAATGTAAAAAAAAAGGTTAGGTCACTTAGCCGTTCACAATAACCATACACGTACACTGTTTGGAAACAGCAAAATCTTCTACAAGCTGTCCCTGCGCTGCCTGTGCACCCCATAAAAACGTTTCACATCCTTTTTTTTCTTGCAAACATTCAGCCGCAACAGTGGTATCAGCTGTTATCTCGAAGGGCGTCCAGATGCGTGCACTATGATGCTACAATTCACTTTGCCAACTTCGTGCAAAAACGCACGACGACCGCGATGGCACTGTTGAAATTGCAGCAAGTAACCAACATTCCAGTAAGCAAACACCAAAGCATCAAAACAAATCGTCGATAACAAGATTAACGATAAAATACAGTCACCACCTCACTGCGACTGTAGAAAAGGTAGCTATGTTTCTAACAATCCTTGAAGTACGCGCAGATAACAAGCATGATGAGTAAGTTGCAACCGAAGCGACAATCGGGGGTGCTACCACATTGAGGAAATCGTCTCAATTTTTTCTGGGCAACAAACGATTTTTTCTTCTATTTCCAGAAACCTGCAACGCGATGACGACAAACGGCCCTTCCCAACAGCCTCACTCGAAAATCAGGTGCATGTGATTGGGCTCTCAAGTTTCCTATTTGTAGGAACCGACCATTGATTGGTGCGGGCAGTTTCATGACCTTCGCTCGATGTGTGCATACCAGCCACGATGCTTCTACACTCGCACTGTTCCTGAACCCGACTGTGGCGCAAAGATGCAGTAAAAAGACAGGCAACATGCCGCACACAGACAGAAAGAAAAACAATACAATGCACTAAAACAAGCTAAGATAAGCAGAGGTGATCGAGGGGGGGTTGGCATAATAATAAAGAATAAAAGAGATCTAACGAGCAAGCAGGCCCCAGGTGTGGGTGAGCGGAACTGGAGCGGATGAATGTAAGAGGTGTGTTTATTACACGGAAGAAAAAAAAAAACAATTTTTACGACTGAAGTAGATATAAGTTTATTATGCAAGTTTGTTCATTACGCGAGTAAATACGGTACCCTGGGACATCGCAGCACCCGTCCTTTACAAACAGACCCCCGTTTAGCATGTTTTAAGACTTAGTGGACAGTTCTTCTCACTTAGTTTAGCATGCCTGCATCATTAAAGTGACGAATTTCTTCTTTAACAAACTTGGCTTTAAAGGACTAACAATGGACAAACATTGTTCAGATGATATACGTGCATTGTCGTTCTCAGACAGAACACATGGTTGTTGACCATGAATGCAAACTCCCGTGAATGAAAATTCAATGCCAGCCATGCTCTTAGCGCATCCCCTTATCTGCATCTTTCTACATACGTGCCTATGTACATTCAAGCCTCATTATAATGAACTTGCACATTTAATAGGAAAAGTTTGTTAATCCGAAAATTTGTTACAAAGGTATATTTCTAACATGACGTCTAGTCCAAGACTGTTCTTCATTTACTTTGTTATAACCTAAAGTTTGTTATATCAGAGTTTGTTATGTTGAGGTTTGAGTACTTGAATGTAACGCGAACTCTTTCTTTCCAGTATTCTGCTACCTGAAGCCAAGCCTCACATTACAATCGAATACTGAAATTCAAGCTGCCTAAAAAGTACGCTGATGCACCCAATTCTAGGCGGCGACCTTTTTTTTAGCCATATTTCAATTTATGTTGGCAACCTTAGCCAGGCAAGTGACATTTGGATTCACTACTAGCCAATGACAGTTCAAAAAGCAAGCAATATCGCGAGGCAGATGGGTATTTCACGAATAAAGTTTGATACGTCGTCTGAGTGGGTGCAAAATACCACGTCTCGCGACAAGTGCATGGAAAATAAACTCCCTTTTTCATGTCTCCGCTGGCCTCTAGTTAGGTTTTCAGTCTCCTTTTCCTGCTGGGTGCGACAAAAACCTGCCCCTCACATCTACCATAGTGGTGCCTTGGTTGCGATGTTAGGCCGCTGACCCAAAGATTGCGGGTTCGATTCCAGTCACAGCAGTTGCATTTCTATGGAGGCGAAATGCCAGAAGCATGTGTACTGTGCGACATCAGTGCACACTAAACACCAGATGGTCAGAATTTCTGGAGCCCTCCACTACGGCATCTCTCAGCATCAAGTCATGGTTCTAGAACCCGAATACCCAGAAATTCTTAAAAGTAGGGTGTCAATTGGGCGTCATGGCCCCTTTGGGTACTTTCCCCTCACCTTTCCTTCCGTGACCCATTCCCTCAGAGTTTTGATGTTCGGTGGCTCTTCTTCACACTCGGGAATCCAATCCACGCGCTCCTTCACGTCGACCTGTGCAGTGGGCGGGAAACGCATACGCAGGACAAAGAAAGAGGTCCGCGAATATAATATTTGCAAGAGGAGAGTCACTGAGAGTAAAAGTCGGACAAAAACGAGTACATAACCTCACTATAAAAATGTTGCCTCTTGCACGAAAATAACTGCATTATATCCAAAAATTTGTCATAAAGGTTTATTAATAACATTATATCTGCTGCAAGACTATTTTTATTTACTTTATTAAAACTAATATTTTGTTATATTTAGGTTCAGTATATGAAAATTTGAGTGTATTCCAATGAAGTTGATGGTTTGAGATAAATCTCTTCGAGAAGAGGCATCATGAAAAAAAACAAAAGAATCAATGCCCACCAAAACGGAAAGGTATGAAACATCAAAAAACGTTTCAGCTTCCATAGGAAGGCCTTCTTTACATAAAAGTGAACAAAAAAGTACCCATGAAAATGATTATGGCAACGTCCCAGCAGCATACGCCAGGTGTCTCGGCCACGTACTAAAACAGATATGAGCCCTCTTTTCTTTACTGGGCCACTTTTATGTGAACAAGGCTTCTGCACAGAAGCCGAACCATTGTTTTCTCTTTTTAAAGTTTTTCATTTCGGTCGGCATGCATTTTCTTTAAACAAGTATTTTAGGAAGTTCTGAGAACACTGAAACCTCATTATAACAAAGTTGCATGTTACATGAAAATAGGTTTGTTATATCCACAAAGTATTTATAAAAATATATTCCTAACAATATATCTATTGCAAGACTATTCTTCACCTACTTCGTTATAACCAATATTTTGTTACAATTGGGTTCGTTATATCAAGGTTTGAGCGTAGATAGCTAATATTTTCACCATGAACTAACACACCCAATCCTTCAACAACAGTGCAAATATGCTACTGTACTCTACTGTACAGCTGCCATTAAACAAAAACAAGAAAATTAAAAAACGCGAGCGGAATCTTGCACTGCACTTTTTTCCTCACCTCTTCCTTCTCAAAGTCCCACTTGACATCTACACTGGGTTCGAGGCCCTCCAGAGAGAGGCCGAGACCTCTTCGACCGCGCTGCTTGGACGTCGGGATGATGTCCGCGATTCCCTGGTTGTTCTTGCCGAGACCAGCACCAGCCTTGTAGCCCATGCTTAACTGGAGAAAACCGACAACTAGTTAAACGAGACCTCTAGATGCAGCCTTCATGATGCAGGTAACTGAATAAATGCAGTAGACTCCCTTGCTTACCAGCTTAACGAAAGCACACCGCATCGATCCCAGACAAAGTTGCAAAAATGTGCGAACGAAATGTACCAAGAATTTTATCGAAGAACACCACCTTCCCCACACTCCATCTCGGATATCAAATGCAATGCATTGCAAACTACGCAAGAAGTTCAGTCAGCAAGATATATAAGCCTGTGCGTCTAGCGCTTGCCTTACGTCGTCGTAAACACCACTGTGACTTGAGTAAAAGTGCCCATGTGAGGCGTCGGGACAGGCTGCAGATCAACCATCCATAAGCTCGAAGAAAGAAACACTAAGCAATCTAGAACAACATATTGACAACTGCATAAGAATAGCTTTATTTGTTTTCTATGGCACAAAATAAAAGCATAGGTAGGTAGTACTCCTTTGATAAGCTGAAAACTTTATAGGCTCGGTTGAGATCAGCTAAAAGAAATACCAAAACACAGCAAGATAAGATGGCAAACATGGCCCCATGTTGCCATCTGCAACCCCATTCACTGTTCTTCTCGACATACACTGTTGTTCCCTTTGGGAGACACATGCACTCCCTTTGGGAACGTTAGACAACCCTTTCGTCAGCTCAACATTGGCGTTTATGGCAGCAGGTTAAATGTCAAACTTACAAAAATAGAACACAAACAGAACAAGCTACATGACTCTTCCGCAACACTTTTCGAATCGCAGCTTCTGCACAACACGTTACACCAAAGATCATTCGGTTGCCAGAGAACTTGGGATCCTTACCATGAGCTTCTGTGAGATGTTGCTATAATTGCCTGCAAAGAAAGCAAAAAATATTTTTTAATTGATCTGCGAAAATTACATTAAAATGTACTAGCTGGCTGAGAGAAAGTGTTGTCTTTATTAAGACACCCCCACCACCAATATTGTCTCTACTAATTCACAACAATCTTGCTCTTTGATACAATGATCAGATATAGCCGAATGAATTCAACAGACACACAGGACCGGGAAAGAATTGGGGGCATCAATGTCTTCATATAAGTGTAGCCTAGTAATAATATTGTAAAATGAAATCAGTCAAGGTGGAAAAAAAAAAGTCACCCGTAAAAGGTTCTGGGTTCAGATCCTGCCAACAAAAATGGTGGTTAACTGCCCACTTTCATTCATTTCAACTGATGTCGTCATTCCAACAACACAGTTAAAGACCATATTTAATTTACCCTATGTTTTCCCCAGCCTATTTGCCAACAGGATTCATTCGTTTCGGTCAAAGAAACGAAACCCTTAAAAAAAAAATTCGCTTCCTTTTGTTCAATTGCCACACGTGTTACGACAGCAGAAAAGTCTCACCAAATGTAGCCACTGGTTACTCCTGGCTTAGAAAACTAGTTTCAAATTAATTGATTTATAGGTGAAAATTTACTCATCTTTACACATTACTCAATCCTGCCCCTCTGTGAACGGATAGTACACTCAAACCTCAATATAATGAACTGGGATACTATAACGAAATATCGGTTGTAACGAAGTAAGGAAAAATAGTCTCACAAAAGATTTAACGTTAAGAATAAACCTTTATAACCAATTTTAGAATATAACAAACTTATTTTTGTGTAAGATGCAAGTTTGTTATATGAGGTTCGAGTGTATCTCCACTGATTCTGTTCGGACGCCACTTTTGCATTCTGCACACACTATGGCCTACTTTATTTCCTCCATGTTGACTAGAGTGCTACAAGTTATTTTCTTTTTTTCTGTGAAAACTTGCTTTTTTCTCATATCTTTTAAGCAAAGCATCCTTTGCCTCTTCCAATCAGCTAATAGGAACAGGCAGCCATTAAAAAGAGAAGGTAGCAGCACCGACTGTTTGGTACATCTCCGTCACTTACCAATCACACCTATCGAGTATGTGCCACTGTTTTCTGTATTCTGCAGCTACCGCAGTACAGTCGGGACAACTAGGATCAAATCAGTAAAATTTCGCCTAGACACAAAACACTGTACCCAGTGAGATTACAGATGCCACTGTGATACTAATCATCGGCTAAGCTGTGCTTGGGAATTTCATCAACTGCCACATCCATTTCGTAGCTGTTGTAACTTTCCACAACTGTGGTATGCCACTAACGAAGGCTTGCTTTTGTTACTTTTTTTTTTTGCTAGAAGATGAGGACGAAAATATCGTGCAAGACAAAAACATGGAAGAGCTCGGCAAGCAAGACCAACATACTCACCCATTGAAACGCCCGAGCTACTTTCAGCAGGCTCGTCATCGTTGGATAAGCTGGTAGAGTACTTCATGCGTTTACCTGTAAGAATATACAACATGAGCAACACGCTTGAAGTGCACTACGTCAATGCAAAAGTCAGGGTTGCCTCAGGGCTGCTGACTTATGTGGTTGATTCATGTGGTGATCTCAACTTGACATGATTAACCATGTCTGATTAACCAACAATGACTCCATTACAAAAGATACAAACTCGCTCACGTGACCCACTCTCTCGTTTTTCCCGTTTTAAAACCTCAAATAGTGTTTTGCACACCTCAACATGGTTTACCCACATTTTTCTTTTTTTTTCTTTCATTCGCTACCGAAGTAGCCACCGGCCAATTACAGAAACGATGGTTTACTAATCGTACATAACTACAAGCAGTTTCGGTGGTGTGGTTAATATTTGGACATCATTCTTTAGAAATCACAAAAGTTACACATCATTTCAGATATTATTCATCCTTAAGTTTTATGGGTGGTATCAAAACTGATCCAGCGCACGCAAAATGTGACTGCTGAGTTACAACAGACCAAATTACGCTTGAAAGGGATGGGTCGAAACTTTAATGAAATGACAGGAGCCTTACATTCATTAGATTTTTACATGAAATATATACTGTTTAAGAAAAAACTTATCCCAGTTCCACCATAGCGTGACATCAGCAGAAACAGTGTATCCGCCATTCACTTGCATTTCCCCTTGCAATTTATTGCGATTTTCTGTTATTCTGTGTGGATGCTTGCGACTACAGTTATTCGTAGAGTATAGATGCATGACAAAGAACGTGTTGCAGTCGATGCCACACCCACCAATCCTAAGTTTCTTTAGGCCCTATCCACGCACGAGCCGCGCTTTGCAGCTTCACTGTCTGGCTACCACTTTGTGCGCAGACGAGGAACTTGCACTATCTGTGGGTGTATCTATATGGGAACCATTTTTTTTTTTTTTCCAGGACAGCTTTAGGTCCGATTCACACCCGAGCCAAGCTTTTCAGTAAGGGACTGCCAATTGGTGGCCAACAGAGGCAGTGATGCCAACTGCAGGTAATTCTAGGAACTGGTTTATGCAAGACCACTCAAGGCCCTATTCACGCTCAAGTCACCCTTCCCAGTTTCATTGCGCGGCTACAGCGTCATCCATGACTGAGGCAGTTATGCTATCTATGCCTGTGTTTGGGGACCGAATTTCGCAGGACGACTTTAAGCCTTATTCATGCTTGAGCTGCACTTTCCAGTATCAATGTGCAATTATTCTTTTGTTGGCAACCAAGGCTATTACACCCTCTATGGGCACATTTGCGAGCCAGTTTTTACAGGACAGCTTAAGGTCCTGTTCATGCTCAAGCTGGACTTCCAGATTTTTACTGTACGATTGACACTTCCTCCGCAATGGACACAATCACACCATGTGAAGGTTATTCTGGGAACCGGTCCTTGCAAGACGACCTTAAACCCACACATGTTCAAGCTGCTTTTCCTGGTATCACTGTGGAGCTATCGCTTCATTCACGACGAATGCAGTTACAATATCTATCAGTGTATCTGAGTATCTGTTTTTGCAGCATGAGTTAAACCCCTATTCAAGCCCCAGCTGTGATTCCCGGTTTCGCTGTGTAGTTACTGCCTGATCTATGACTGAAACAGTTCCGCCGTATAGGCGTTTCAGAGAACCGGTTCTCGCAAGACGACTTCAGGCACCATACACACATGAACTTCCCCGTTTCATCATGCGGCCATTGCTTCATCCGCAACCGAGACAGATTCGTCATCTATAAGTGTATCTGGGAATCTAAGCACGATGATCATAAACACAAATCTGTCATCTGGCCCACCCATAGTACAACTCCTCTGTGGATTGCTGGCGCATTTGTCGATACATGCCAATATAGTGCAGAAGGCTTGTACTACCATTTGCCCAATTGTTTCTTTTTGCCAAGACAATGCACGTTGTAATTTAATAGAAACGTAGGACTGTAGTGAACAAGTTTTCAGAATCTCTACTGAACCATACTGATTAAAGCCTTAGAAAGTATGTGAAAAGCAGAGATGCCCAGCTAATATAACAGACTCCGGGAATCTGCTGTAACTTGAAAATAACTTGTCGAATCCTATTTCTTCAATTAATTAACCCCTTACCCAGATATCGACAAAAATAGAGGCATAACAAAATACTTAATCAGTCTATTTCGATCTAGCATTTCTTTTTTGTGTTCTCTTACATCTCAGTGAATAATGAAGTCTTTGTACAGTACACATTGATTAAAATGCAAACATTTAGGGCTAAGTAATGCACATATTTTAATTTCTGTATTGACAGTTCATGTCATATTGACATAATCTTATGTGAAACCCTTACATCAGAGCCAGCATTACCTTTGGTGGCAAGATTTGCAAAGACATGACACACTTATCGCAAGCAACTGTTCCAAGCAGTCATTACATCAAAAATTGGTGTCATGTTTTGCATCTCATGAGTACATAAAGCACAGGTCCAAGCTTGGGCAGGTCCAAGAAAAGATCACTCACTTTCAGAGCCCCCTTGTGCAAAATTGTTGCGTTTTTTGCCCAGGCTACCTTCGGCAGGTTCATCGTCATCGTTAGAGAAACTGCTGGAGAGCCTCATGTGTTTACCTGCAAGGGTGTGCAACACATCAGCAACTCGCCTGAATTGCACTTCATCGATGCGGAGGTCAGGTTTTGCTCAGGTGAATGACTCAAGGTGGTTGTCCCAGATGACAATCTCGATTGTGCACGATTAAACATCAAGCACAGTGTCCTAGCTTTTCGCTCATATGACTACTCGCTCAGATAGCTCGCTCATATTACCCTCTCATTCAACCTGTTTCGAAATCTCAGTTGTCTTTTTTTTTTTTTGATGAGGTGATGTCCCACTTCAACCTATGAGAATCAATAATCAAGCACAGGTCCAAACTCAAACTGGTCAAGAAGACATCACTCACTTTCAGCACCGCCTTGCGCAAAATCCTTGCGCTTCTTGCTAGCCGCCACAGGGACCTTCCGGCTTCCTGCATCAAAGAATCGCGGCTTTGCTACAAAACAAGGAAACTGCAGATGTTAATCACTAAAACTGCCACTTGCTAACAAACTGCCAGTTAAGGTTGATTGATTGATTTGTGGGGTTTAACGTCCCAAAACCACCATTTGATTATAAGAGACGCCTGCCAGTTAAGGTTGAACTAATAGAAGCCGCTATAGCTTACAAATATATCTGCAGGGTTGACCAGTCGCTCTTAAAAAGGCACTAAAGGCAATTGTTGAGGGAAGCCAAAACAAAGCATTGAAATATGGTCAAGTGTGTAAACTTTCTTTACAACAGGAGCTTTAAAAATGCAAGACAAAGAATTGGATGACACTATCACCACTCTACGTGCGGTTTATTGAACATGACAGGAAATAAATCCCTGCTGAAACCTATGTGTCATTCCAATAAGTCCATATGTTTCCTGTGGATTTTATAGAGTATATGAAGATTATATATAAATTCCATTACTCTTGCATAACAATATTGGGGGCCTGATACGGAACATTTGAAAATCGTACAGAATTCAACAGGAATATACAGAAGAGTGGGTAAAAGAGGGAAAGGGCTGCATTCAACTGTGTTTGTGTCCCACAGACTGCTTCGAACCGCAGATGTTTAAAGAATATTTACAGAGACACTGTAGAACTACAATACTTTAGCCACCAAAGAAATAATAAAACTGCCTAGTCATTGCGTCTGCAGCTCCAAAAGCTTTTGTGGCTTTGTTTATTCTTGTGTTTTGGCTTTTGTTTCACACTCAAGAATGGCTAGTTGTGACCCTTGTGAGCTTATTTAGATTGGTGAGCCTAAAAAGGATCAAGGTGATCAAGTGGGATCAGCAGAACTTATTCAATATTTCCCAGTTTTAATGCATCAAGACTACATACAAAGTCGAAACGATGTAGCTTAAGCTAATCTGTGCACTACCTATCCGTAATTCTATCATTTAAGAAGTGCCATGCGTTGCGGCTCTCATAGACACTAGCACCAGATTTCCTCCAGTGCACTTGCTATGAAATGCTATGGATAGAACAGCCTCCTTCCCTTCTCCCCAGAACTGTCATTGCTTTGTGAGTGTTTAGGTGATAAATTTATCTCCAGCTAGGTCCTCTCGGTACTGAAAGTTTTCTAGAACGGCAAACCAACACACCCCACATTTTCTCTCATATAACTCTCACAAAATATATACAAAAGTTCGGAGCTAAAGTCAAGGTGGCTTCGCAACAATGCATCATAGCAATGCAATAATAAAGGTGGCTTCACAGTGATACATGGGTATATCTCATTTAAACTTTGTTCTACTGATTGTAGTTAAGGGCACGAGAAAATTCCTGTGAGTCAACCTTTGCCTTTAGTGTCTTTTTAAGGAAGCCAAAACGAACAAATTTCCTAATACTATTTGCATAGTATCACCCACTGCCAGAGCGTTCACACTATTCTTCATAGTGACAGCACCAAAACGTCTCAATATGTACAGCCTGTTTTACACTTAGGGAAAATCTCAGAGCACGTGACACCACAATGCGGCCAGTGCTGCAGCAGTGCACCGGCAGCAGCCGGTCCGTGCGCAGATGCTTGAGGGGCGTGGTATTGAACCGCATCGTCTGCGATGGCAGGTGCGCGTTGACCACATCCTGCTGATTTCATCATTGCTGCGAAAACTAGGCCGATATTTTGTACAAAACATTGTGCGATGTCGACCTGGATGCCAACCTATTGCCTTCATTGGCGACTGGGGTTCCAAAAGCAGTATTTGACAGCATACGTTGTTTGCTGTTTCGTAACGCCATGGTTCTGAGTGCGTTCCTGTACATTTCTTCTTTGTGTGTTCACCGCAGTATGACGCGGCGTGGAACGCTATAATGAGCACGTAAGACGTGTGGTACTTATTTTGTGCTAAAAAAAGCGAAGCGTTTTACAGCGACTGCCGTGCAGCTATGCGAGTTCAACACAACAAAACAAACGAGAACGAGTTCAGGAATGCTGTAGGTTAAGGCAACGTCCTGAATGTGCTTCTCCTCGATGACATTTCGTTACTCGAGGCAGCCCTCTCGCGCCAGCGCTGAAATGCCCACGAGAAGCTTCCGACTTCACTTAAAACCTCGTCATGTTCCCAGCTGCAGAGATCACAGCACTCATTTTGGACGGCAGTGAGGCGTACAGCAACGCGATAAGCAATATTGGCCCAGTTCCTGCAGCAACAATGAAATTCGCCTGCTGCCTGGCAGTGTGGCAGCGGGGGCCGTTGTAGCCGAAGACGCCATTCAACTGTTCAACACTACACCTCTCAAGCGTCTGAGAATGCGAGAGTTGCTGCCGGCGTATCACTGCTTCGCTGGCCGCATCGTGCTCCCATCAAGAAGCCACATGCTACGAGATTTCCCTTAAGTGTGAAAGAAACTATACATCGGACAGTTACACACTAAACTAAAACCACACAGTCCATATTTTGATGAAAATAGAGCTGTTTTTAAATGGGGTAAAATTACCATGAAGGTAATAGGTGAAGCCACAGCAAAAAAATAATGTGCCAAGAACATTAAATGTGAAAGTCAATAACTGAAGAACATTGCTAGTGAAATGCTAAAATGCTTCTCAGAGAGAAACGGTACGGTACCATCAATGTTCCAGTTTTTTGGCGAAAGAAATCTACAAGTAAACAACACACAATCATCTAGACTTTGGAAACCTTCAAAGGGCACCAAAGACTGTTACACGATTAACAGCGTACTAATGCAAAACATAGAATGAACAGACATTTGGACAACTTCTGAAGCTATATATAGGCACCCGGCAATGCAGTTTACAAGATTCGATGGTAGCACCAGAACACAGCCTTGCGAGCAGACGCAGCAAAACCAGGCCCGCAATTGCGTAGCCTAGCGCATAGGCAGCAAACCGGACATGCCAGGGCACATTTCCTTTTCTTTTTTAGTTTTTGGCAGGGGGTCACGGATCATTATGAAAGCACCCAGGAAGTCTTCTTTGAAAATGTGCCAAAAAGGGCACTGACACTTCATCATGTTGATGTGTTCAGCGAGAGTTTCATTTCCTCGTTATCCCTGGCAGTTGGTACTATCAATGCTAAGGCGGACCGGTAGAGCTCCGTCGCACCCTCTGTCAATGTCGGGTGCCTATATAGATTTCAGTAGAGGCTGCCAGTGCCGCATTTCATTCTGAATACTGTATTTATTATGGTGCAATATATTTATTACAAGTATTCAATGGTGCCCCTTGAATTAAACAAACATGTCTAGAAAGTGAAAATGAACCTATGCTACAAAACTAAATAAAACACACAATTCAGCATGGGGGGGGAAGGGGGTAAAATTGAGAAAACTAATGCCACCCTCAAGAAACACTGCTAATGGCAAAAACAAACTATGACTAATTAATAGGCAATCTTCCATGACACACCTTTCACATGGCAGGTCACAGACCATGTAGGCAAAAAAAAAAAAAGAACAGAGGACGTGGCACCACAACAGGTTAAGACACACCACAGAAATAGGTTGAACATCGTCAGGATTTCCACCACCGGGTTAATAAACAGAAGAAGATGAACAATACCCCAGCAGCGCTTCACACAATGAGCAGATCGCCGCACACATTCATGTGGGGGAGGGGGTAAGAGGGCGGGCAGAAGGCAAAGAATGCACACATATGGTAAAACAATGCAATACACTGACAGCAGCTGCAGTAGCATAGACAGAGCACTGCCCAGCCATTTCACAAGCCCCAAAAAACACGCACACAGAATCAGCCCCACTCACTCAATTCAGGCCATCGCAAACACCGTCCTTACCGCTCTGGCTCCATGTGTTTATGACGTTGCCCGCATCGCTGTCATCGCTCTCACTGTCTTCTCCACTGCAGGGAGCCCTTTTTGATTTACCTGTGGCCACACACACATACACACACAAGTCTAGCATGTGACCAAGGAAATGTCTGCACACAGTCATACATGATGAAATGTGTAGACTCCCTTTAAACGAAACTTTCTTAAATAAATTGCTGCTTAAATGGAACAGCTGCCACTAATATGTTTGGTTTCCCTACTTGGATATTGTACCCCCATTAGTTTCTCAGTAAATGAAACTCCTCTTAAAGGCAACACATCTTCCTGGTTTCGGGTTCGTTTAAAAGAAGTCTACTGTAGGTGCGAAGCAGCTCTTTGTACTAGCCTGTGTAACGCTAGCCTGTGGCGTGCGGCACGTTCAGTACGAACGTGCCGCACGCCACAGGTGTTGGTGCGGTTCCAAGTAGGTGACACCGCTGCCGCGTTTGACGTCACGCTCCCCTTGCAGTGCGCGGCTGACGTCATTCTCTCCCTCGCCTGCCGGGCACTTTGCCGCGTATCCCGCAGCTGCCACCTCGTCTGTTCGCCACAACATCTGCCGTGACTGTTGCTCGCTACACCACCGACTCGTCGGTTCATGTGCAATAAACCCGACGCACACTTAACATTCCTGTTAAAACATGTCTGTACGTGTCACCTACAAGACCTATGCCAGTCATCGCTTCGGACGAATCTTCGAGCACCGCAGCACCCACGCTAGTGCTGTTCAACCCGAGACACCCCCCGTGCGCCACGCTGCTGCTTCGCATCTGATCAGGATTCTTCTCGGGGAGAATGGTCCAAGCTTTTTTTTTTTCATTACATCAGGTAATTTCATGTGCAATGGACTCCTGGTAGTACTAGTATGTCCCACTTAGCGACAGGCCATTCTTTCAATACGAGTATACTTCACTGCACCAAACAGCTGTAAGGCAGCGAAAGTCACCAAAAATTGCCCGCCTACCTGTCTGTAGTGTTTCACTGCAAAGGGCGTCGAAATACGAGAGTCTTTTGTCTGCAGGCGCTGCGATAGAAAGCCTCGATGTCCTCCTCCCCTACAAAGAGGCAGGCGAGGAGAACATCGAAGCACTCCCGTCTACATAGAGACGGGTGAGGAGAGCATTGAGGCCCTCTACGCTGCGTGAGATATGGGCACTGTATTTTAGAACGCAGAGCAATTGGCAGCCAAATGTCATATCAACACAGCGTAGGAAACACTCACTTTTTCACTCATAGCGTCGCATTGTCAGCGCAGCGTAATAAACACTACGATCTCCAAAATCAAGTATCACGCATTTTCAAAATAAGACACACATTACCCAATACTGACATATTGTTGTTGTACCTCAAATATGCGTAATATTCGTTGTCAATTGACAATGTTCCCAAGTATGAACACAACCACCAGGACAAGATGGGTGGGCATTGAGCACGGGGTTAAACTTTTGCCGGGTGGCTCAATCAATTTACAGACCCAAACCGAAATTTCTGCACTGAAGTATCCCAAGAAAGACTATCATCTTTAAAACCGCAAATCTTCCAAAGCAGAGGAAGAATGAGACCCTGGTTGCACGGACCGTCTATGTTTTCAGCAGAATTGCCGGATGCTGCCGACACTAAAAAAGCAGCACTACTTTTGCAAAGGGGTAGATATTTAATAAGTTTTCTCAACTCTGCAAATACTTTCTATTATAAAAAATGTTGCTGGAATATAAGGGGAAGGTAATGTTTAATTATATAACAAAGCAAAAAACACTTCAGCAATCTCAATGTCATCTTGTTTGCCACAGTTTCCTTTTAGAACGCGAGCAGTGTTATACACTCAAAACACCATAGTACACCAATACACCCAAACTGCTACTCTTTGAACACTAGAAAATATGCACAACTATGAACAAAGGTACACATTCACTTTCAAATATAGGCACTCTCAAGGGTAGTGTTTACCTCATTCAGAGCACAGTTGCCAGCGCATAAATTAGGTTACTTCTCGACTCCCTCCCCCCCATAAGTTCGTTTTCAGTGCTCAAGTACTAAAGCCAGCAACGAACACGCCCTCAGCCAATGTAATAGGCACTAAAACACAGTAAAAGCTTGATGATCTGACTCCTATCAATTAAAAAAAAATCAGATGCTTTGAATGTGCCCTCTGGTCCCAGCAACTGTTGCATTATTTAATGGCACAAAACTCTCGTTCATTCGGCACATCTTTGGAGCGCACGAAGCCCCAAGCACTAAAATGCACGATGCCAAGGAGCAAAAACAGCGTATGCGAACTATCAAAACAGCCACTCGCCTTCAGGAAGACAAGTTCATCATCGATAATCTTACCATGATTTGATCACTGGAGACAAGGCTTCAGCAGCTGTGGCAAATTTGCTTTGTTTTTTATTTTACTTGGCGTAAGCGGACTTGCACGGGTGTTGTGGTCATGTCAACAACAACTGGCAGTGAAAGTGTCGAAGCCGTTGACAAGCAGTAGTATTGCTTTCACTATGCAACCTCGAAACTGTGTAGTAATTATTCATGGCTGTACATTAGTGGGCCAGGTTTTTTGAGCAGCAGATGTGGTGCTCGGCAGTTTCATTTCGACTCTGGACGCAGACCGTGCACGTGCCTTCACATTTGCATGGATGCTCTAATCTCATTTTAGCGACTGCAGTTTTGTTCCACAGCGTATGCGACACTCAGTATCTTTATTCCGACTCAGGCCAATGCATGCACAATGTCACAAAATTCAGATATGGTGGAAGACGTTGAAGATGAAGAGCTTCAGCGGCAGCCTGCATGCTGACACAACTCACTTGCATTATTCTCAAGCATCATCATAACACAGTTGCATTTTACACGAAAATGAGTTTTTTATATCTAAAGATTTGTTAGAAACGCCATTTTTAACGCCCTATCTATCCTAAGACCATTCATCATTTAATTCATTGTAACATGATACTTCATTACATCCGTGTTCATTATGTTAAGATTATAGTTTATTGTAATAAATGAACAATTAGTTTCCAGCCATTCTTGGAGAGAAGACATAACGGTAATGTCCATGTGGAATCGGTGATGGTGGTACGTAATAAGTAATTGGTTCAGAGCAACATTTCGGCTAAAGACACATTTCGCAGCTGTCAGCACATTTCGGTCAGCTGTGATCACATATGAACAAAATGACGAATGATCCAACTTTTACACTGCTTTTATGCAAAATACTGAATTTACATACTCATAATAAATACAAAAATACTGTCACAGGTAAATGGGTATGAGCCATCAACTGTAGCGTGAAATCGCTTGGAAGTGGAGAAAGAACTTTGCTTCCTGGTCTGGGTGTGGCCAAGACGTCGAATCCTGGCTGTCTCTGTTATTTCGCTCGTGGCACTAGTGGAAGTGCTCAGTAAATGCGCCTCGGCTCCAGATTTTCAGCCGACACACCGAGCCACTTGGAGACAGCTACAGCTCCCACGGCAAGAAGCAGACGCCGCCTACGAGGACTATCTCTGAAATACGGTCCTTTCTCTCTCAAGACGAGATGGCAACCTCGACTACCAACCAGGCGAGTCAAACAACGACGCCTATTCTTTTCTCCCTCATGTTTTTTATGCACCGCAAACACAACGCTTATTTCATAGAGACATTTATGAGGATGTTGATGAATGGCTTGACCACTTCGATCGAGTTGCCAGCATCAACGAACGGGATGAAGCTCGCAAGCAGCGGAGAGTTTGCTTTGCGTTGGAAGACTCTGCCAAAACGTGGTATGAAAATCACGATGGTTGCTTTGCGACGTGGGAACAGTTCAGCCGACAGTTTCGCGAAGCGTACCGCAGCACCGAAAAGAAGGAGAGAGCAGAGCAGGCCATCTCATCTCGGAACCAATGACCTAACGAGAGGGTTTAATGTTTGTCGAGGATATGTTTCGACTCTTCAAGCGTGCCTACCCTGTAAAGTAGGAGGAAAAGAAGGTGCAGCATTTAATGCGTGAGATAAAAGAGCAGCTCTTCGCCGGACTTGTGCATAATCCACCGACTACTGTGGCTGAGTTCATAAATGAGGCAACCACAATGGAGCGTACTCTCCAGCATCGGTCGTCACTGTATGAACGCCACAACGTCACCACTGCTGCATGCTTTATCGGGGCTGACAGCGAGAGGCATGCCCTCGCAGAGTTCATAAGAAGCGTCGTGCGGGACGAGTTGTGCCAACTCCAAGCAGCGGGACCCCAATCACCCATAAATGCTCTCGCAGACTTCATCCAAAATGAAATCAGACAGGTGGTCACCCCACTCGCACCAACAAGACCTGAGGCCCCTGTGCTGACTTATGCGGCGGCCCTGCGATCTGCTGCACCACATGCTCCTGATCCCACTATGCGGACAATGGATCACACTAGCTATCGATTCCAGGGCACCTCTTCAACTCCTGCCACTGGCCTCAAGGTTTCCGAGTGCACCCACTTATCATCCGTCTGGATCGCGACAGAGCGCCACAAAGGCCAGCGTGTGGCATACGTCGGATAACCGTCCACTCTGCTACCACTGTGGTGAAGCGGGTCACGTCTACCGCAATTGCCAGTACCGCCAACTTGATCTCCAGTGGCTTCCACCCTGATGCTCGTTGCCCGCGTTACGGTGAGCGTCCCCGCGACATCGAAGCGTACCTTACCGGCCAGCAAGCTCCTCGCCTTGGTCAACGCCACCAAACACAATCAACATCACCTCGCCACTCCACATCACCTAGCTTTCCCTCGTCATCTTATGCTTCTTTCAGAGGCCGGTCACCGAGTCCCCACAGGGGAAACTAAAAACCGCGGCTCCTAGGGTTAAAGCCGCGTTCCGACAAACTGTCAAAGAGCCTCCTTCGACGCAAAGACCCGACGAAGATCGTTCTGATATTTCAGTCGTTTCCGAAAGTCATAAGACTGTTTCTACCGACATCAACGTACACGTCGATAATCACGTCGACACTGCCCTCATCGACACCGGCGCCGATTATTTGGTTATGAGCAGCGCCCTGGCATCAAAACTGAAGAAAGTAACTACCCCTTGGCAAAAATC